ACTTATTTAAAAATAGATTTAAGCTCAACTTAATGTTTTGATCTTTTTGACAGCTGGCTTGAAAATGTAATCTATATTGTGGTCGATATGATAATTTATCATAGATTTACCTGATAATGTTATTATAATTTTAATAACCAATAATTAAAAATTACTTTGGCGGTGGGTGAGCACGTGCCACCCCGTGCCCCCTGGATACGGAACTAGCTGCTATTAACAATGGTAGTATTTTCAATCGGTCATAAAAAACGATTTTTTAGCGAACGATAATAATAAACTATACCTACCTACATAACAATAATAATCATAAAATAACAAAATTTTATAGAGACTACGGCTTTTAATTTTGCGAAATTATATGAACTCTGAAGATAGTTGTTTTAAAAAACTAAAATATTTCGCACTCGTCAAGGTGCCATTAAATCTACATTTATTATCTCAATTATTAAACTGCTGAAACAATTAATTGCATTGTATCAACCAATTATTATGTCTGTTGATTATTACTGAAACGTTTGTTGTTAATATTACAATAATTTTTCTTTCCGCACGCGGAAATTAGTCTCGTAAAAAGGAAATCCCCTTAGGAGTATACCAACAGTTATTCTTACCCAAAAATTACATCGGGCTGTTGTTATAATTCAAAGGGGCATTGGTATCAATAACACGGTGCAGCTGAAAACACACCCGTAGAATTTTAATGAATTTTCTACGCAACATGTTTTCTAACTAACCTATATTTTATGCTCGGTTCCCAAAAACGTTTCGAGTTTATTTGTGTACTTATTAAATGAAACTATACTGTTTATGAAATTAGTTTTAATTTGGAAAAGGCCAAAGGGTCCATGTAACTAAGATAAATTCCCGAATAAATTTGTAAACGCACCGTTCAGCATGTATTGTGTCGAATAACATTTTAACGCATCGAATCGACAAAACTAAGGTGGAAAGCGGTACAGGCGACATCCTACAGGTGGGATTGATTAGAAAACGATTTCATATTATGCATAACAGTTTCGGACTAGTATTATATTATAGTCGTTTCGGATCGTAATTCGATTGTACGCGTTCGCCTTTTAATGAATTATTATAATATTTTCGTGTAGTGGTGATGCACGCTGACACTTGTTAAACTGTAACGGTCATGATAATACTATAATGGTATATTTACGAGGTACTATTGTAGTTTATTTTGTAAACAGTGCAGATCCCACTGTTATATTATGCTCCGTGTCATTACTACAGTAACATAGTGTAGCCTGGTATTTAATTAGTGCATTCAAAAGTATAAAAGTGTAATTATTTTGTTTTAATGTTTTTTTTAGCTACGTTAAGTATTATACTAACAATAATTTAATTTCAGTTAGTTACCAGTTAGGCTTATATAATATAATAATCAACATGTGTCACAGGTAATGCTCGAAAAATTGTGTTCTATTATATACGATGACAGTTGTATATGAGTGTCGATCTGGCGCACGATTAGGTATAATACTTTCCAATGGGCCCCAGCCTCTAGGCCCCAAATTTGAAAAAAACCTACCTAACCTAAACTAACACAATCTTACAAAAAAATTATTTTATTTTTGTTTGAAAAGTTATTTATTACTATTTAAAATTTTTTTATAATAATTATAACTGCTAAAGTTGACTGCTAAAATGTACTTAGTAATAACGAATAAGACGTGAATGACTTCAGTCAAGATGATAATATTGTAGTAGCTGTATTTATAGTACACTGTACACACGATTCTGAAAGTAAAATTCTTATTTCCAGTAAGAATTTTTTAAAAATATTTTAGCTTCGCAAATCACTATACTGTACCTTTTTACAACTAATTATTTTTCTTTTTTTAAACATTGCTTTAAATAATAATATGATAGAACTTATAATAATGTATCAGATAAAGGGAATATAAAAAAAATGATTAAAAAAAATACGATGGTAATAATCATAATTTTTAGTCATAGAAGATTATCTTTAAAAATTATATCGTAAATGATGCAGACATTTCCTCATTAAAAAAAAACACAAATTTGTACGTCCTTATACTCCTATCTATGTTACAAGGTATGTCGATAATTATAAAATAAAGTCGAATGTATGAACTTTTTCATTAAGTGAAAAGTGCTACTCATTTACTGTTAACGTGCTTAGGAAGTCGCTTCACAAAACTATAAAAGTAATAATATTAAAAAAAAATTACTTGTTTTCGTATTAAATACGAATTCAGAGACAAATTAAATTCAAATAATTTAAGAGTCCACCATTTAGTTTGTTAATGTAATTATATTAAATGTATATAGTCATCAATATTTATACCCTAAATAATTATATTTAAATTCAAAGATGCATACATTTTTAGGCGCAGCGTAGATACTTGAAGAAATGTAACGATAAGATCGTTTTCGATGTGTTTCAAAAAACATTTCCGAGAGATTTTAATAAATTTTTAGGTTTAAATTTTTATTTTTTTGGACATTAGGTCAACTATAATTATTTCTAACTTGATCAATGTAGAAAAAGAGAATTATTAAAATGAATCAAATTAAATTAGTTTTTCTAATTATTTTTGTTCTAAACATTTTAGGAAGTAACTAGGGATCAAAAGAGTTTTCATAAAATTTTAAGTTTTTAAATGTATTTTGTTGATTTTAGTTTATTTTACTATAATGTAAATGTCATAATAAAAGTATAAATTTTTGAAGAAATAAAGTTTGATCGAACATTAAACTATTAAAATACTTACCATGAAATTATTTTTGACCAAATCTATATATATAAAAATGAATGTATGTCAGTGTGTCAGTGTGTCTGTGTGTCTGTGTGTCCTTGTTACCATGGTTACCAAGGTTGCCATGGTTACTAAGGTTACCAAGATTTCATATCAATCTATATATATAAAAATGAATGTATGTCAGTGTGTGTGTGTGTGTGTGTGTGTGTCCATATTACCATGGCAACCATATCTGTATATAAAAAACAGTAAGCTGATTGACTGCTATCAACGCACAGCTCAAACCATTGGACGGATCTGGCTGAAATTTGGCATACAGATAGCTATTATAATATAGACGTGCGCTAAGAAAGGATTTGCCAAAATTCGCATTTTAAATAGGTGCTGAAACAGGGACATTGAGATTCACGATAGAAATTGGAAATTTTATTTTTATTTATTTATAGTTGCCATTGGTTACAGTCTACATTAGAAATTAGCATTTATTTATTGGTTGCCATTGGTTATTCGGGCAGATCAGGTACAACCTTGCATCAAATCGAATTATTGAACAATGCTTACCAGGGTGGCAGAGTTGCACTTACCGCAGAAAATTACACCCAAAAGGAGTTCAACAATCATAATTTTTTTAAGAGTTGCGATTTTTTACGAGCAACCAAATTTATTATATTAATCCACAGTATTACATCAAAATAAACTTGGTATAACTTTGATACTTTAGAGTTAAATCATACACTTCCGTACAAACAGCACGGGGTCCGCGATCTACCGCAGGTAGATTGCCTACCTGATAATGTACTGCTGCGATTCAGAATTTTTATTCAGGGCAACGGGAAAGATAAGATAAATTTTGAACACCATACACGTTAATGAATTGAACAAAGTTTGAGTAGGTAGTATTGAGTTGATCCATTTAACGGGCGACGAAGTGCACGGGATCAGCTAGTTAATATATAAAAATAAAACTAGGTACTTCTAACAATTTATTTTTTGCAAATAATAATTTTGCTTATGGTGCGTAAATGATTTGGAAGTTACAGTCAGCTTAGCTGTTTAGCTATGTGGTGCTTTCTTAAAACGAGCACTGTTTTTTAGAATATATTATTATTCCTAAATCTGTGTTTCGTCTGTCGTTTTATATAATTTTCATAAATTTCTTTATATGATTAAGGCAATATGGTGTTTAATTTTCAATCGGTCGCGTGGGGGTGAATAAATTCCTGGGCATCATAAAAATAAATGCTCACATAACTGTCCCAAAATAAAATACTTGTCTTGTGTTATACCTACGGAATTTATATTATTCATCAAACTCTATCAGACATTATAAAATAGTTGAATAGCGGCATGTGTGCTTTTTTCAGCCATAAAAATCGTTTAGGTACTGTGTGATTGGAATAAATTTACCCCATGGGCGGCCACGTGACTGCACAGTATTTTATTTTATTTTTATATAATACTTAGTAGGTAGGTACCTATGCGTTTTGTAAATCAACATAAGTGTCACTGGTGGGGGGAAAAGTGGCTTCCTTAATCGTGTAAATTCACAGATAAAATATTCTTATTGTGCATTATATTATTATATTTATATGCACATGGATAAAAAATGATATATGTGTGATGAATGATGATGGTTTATATTTAATTAAATAATAATAGGTAGGTATGTATAGTTTAATCTTTTTTTTTAATTACCTAATAATAAAATTATTTATGTATACAATTATGACAAACTGGATTACATGAATTATGGTCCTGCAGAGTACGTTTTTCTGTTTTCTCAGAATTATTATGATAAAATAATTGCATGCTTTGTTTTTTTTGTTTGGTTTTTAATTTTATTATTTTTTTGTGGATTATGAATTCTCTGATCGTGTATTTTTTTTTTTTTTAGAAGTGGTCTTTAAAATATATAAATTGTTGATGGATATTATTTGTGAAAACTAAAATTTACTGTGTTGAAATGACAAAAGAAAAAAATGATTGCCCATAATTATTTTTCACAATTTAGATAATCTGTATAGGTAATTAAAAAGGATGAAACGTGGAGCAATTAACGACTGATGTTTAAAACGGTTAATATTTGATTTTTTTCTTTTTTAAAATGTATGTATAAATACTGCAGTATAATATTATTTAGTTACTAAATTTTTAGTATGTCGTTATCATAATATTATGCGCATTATCATTTACCAGTTCAGAAAAATAACCATACATTATAATATATTATGTTATTAAAATGCTGTGACCGTGACAACTTACCGTACACCCTTAGAGTCCCTTCAGAGTTTCCAATGGAGTTAGTTGATATGCAATTGTAGGTTCCTACATCTGTCTGGTCGAACATCTTGATAACAATATAGTAGGCGGCCTTGTAGCCGGATATTGTTTCTCGAAGAATGTGCTTGGGCCTGTGGACAAAACAAAATTCAATAAAAGTCGTGTCATGTTATACATTGACACGTGACGGTCAGCGTGCCTAAAACTTCTCAAGTTATTATATTAACATAGTACAATTCCAATCAAATTTTTAATAGAACTGACGATTTTTTTTGTTTGAAGCATAATGATACAATAGTTTGTATTATTTTAATATATAAGGTACCTGCTATATAATATTCGTATACCATGATTGTGAACTAAACCACGATGTTTGTTGTATCAACGTTTATCGGTACCTACTATCACCCATTACTTAAGCTAATTATCTAGGACAAGGAACGAATACAAAATATTTCTAATTATATATTATATTATTTATATTTCAACGAGATTGTTTTTTAAAAGAAGAAGACGTTGTTAGCTGCCTACAAAATCAATACAAAACGCGATGTTTTAAAATGTTGAGAAAATTAAATGTGGAGTGCGAGTTTACCTTAACCATAGCTATGGCTCTTAAAGATTAATTAAAAATAAAAAATGAAACTACTTTTGAAATGTTATTTTTTTTATGTTTCTACGTTTTCTAGATTGATTACTTATGAGAGGTCGGAGAACTTAAAACACAATTTATGAATATTAAAACTCCACTCGTTCAATAAGTGTACATGCAACTTCAAAGGAATAGATTTTAAATGCATCAGCAGGTAAACGGCCAACAACAATAGTCTTAACCACAATATATTGTATTTGATATTTTAAAGTATGTACTCAATTTAAGTGTACCAATATAATTGTTTTCTCACATAAATAGCTTAGATTATTATTAAATAAAGATAAAAAAAAAAAAATATAATGCAATGTAACAGTAATGTTACTGTTTATTAATAATTGTACCTTAAGCAAAAATAACAAAAAAAAAAATTGAATTAATTTTTTGAAAGAATGGTTTCAATAATTTTGTTTTTGATTTTGAATTTAGTATAGATAATAACTCAATGGTTTTGTAAAGAAAAATTGAAAAAAAAATGTGTGTCAATTTCTGAATATGATTCTAATATTGAGTTCTTGATTCCGAACAATCGTAAAAAGGATTTAAGCAGTTCTCCAACTACCTTATTACGCCGTAAGTTTTGCTATAACTTCTACGACAAATTGCGTACACATTTAGAGTCTAATAAATAGCCATAAATTTATCCAATAATGTACAAACATTTTATTACATGTTCCAATACCTTTACTTAGGATTTGATTTATTTCCAATGATTGCGTACTTTATGAAAAAAAAAGTAAAAATACTATTCCATAACTTTACGTGGTCATTTTTTTTTTTTCATCAATTCTGCCGAATGATATATACGAAGACATTTAAAATCCACCAGTTATTTTTATTTTGATGTATTTTTTGCGACAAGAACTTAGGGGCACTATAGAAAATCAATTGAAGTACCGAACTGCCGTAAATAAGTCATCTAAAAATGTCCTTTCTTACCTTTTTTTTTTTCAAAAAGGATTACAGGAACGAATTTTAAGTACAACAACCATGTAGGTTGCACGTGAACAATTCAATGAAATATTATTTTAAAAATAACACAATTCTATAAATAAAAATTGTTTGATCATTATAATAATAATAATAATAATATGTTTTTAAGGTACCTATATTATTTGGTCAAATATTAAATAGTTAGCAGTTATTATTTAAAAACACAAGTATTTTTTTTTTAGTTTTAACCCGTTTAATATTTTGATTTTTTAAATTATTATGTTATTACTGAATTTTTGTGAGATAATTTTTATTGTATACTTATTGTTTATTTTTTGTTTTTTAAATAATATTCTTACAAAAATTATGTTGATGTTTATCTTTGAAAACTTTTTTTTTTTGGGTAGATTGAGTCATGGAAAAGTTTGTTTTAGTGATCAGAAATATATTGTGAATGGTATTTAGTAAAAGGAATTTTTCGTTTTCCTAATGGTTCAGAAATGTAAAACTATACTACAACAACTGTCAAAGAATGTTAGCAACCACGGTTTTGATAGCACTTTGGTAACAGTTGTTTTTGGCCATGACTAATTCATTATTTCTTTTAAAATAAATATCAAAACCACACCTCAGTCCACCGTGCCGACTTCTGTGGCAAGCGAAGCTACACGAGTGTGCTTACTGCTTATAACACTAAGTTAATAGTATGTAACTAATGTTATTGCTTACAATAGGTTACTAGTATGTAACTAATGTTATTGCTTACACTAGGTTACTAGTATGTAACTAATGTTATTGCTTACACTAGGTTTCTGTATCTTGTATGCATGTTATATGGTTATATGCAGGCGTGGACTGGTAAACAAAGCCAAGGGATGCTACACAATTTAAAGGGCAAATGACGAAAATTGTTGGGGAAAATTTAAAACATGTAGATAATTTATAAAATAAATAATCAATCAAAATTTTACAATATTATAGATCACTAATAATCGTAAGTTGGTATAATATAACGATCTGCTGTTCATTAGGTATCTAGAGTCTTTAAATATATAACGATATTAATTATAAAATATATTTTAGGGTAAGGGATGCTGTAGCATCCCAGCGCCCCAGTCAGTCCTCGTCTGGTTATATGAAGTATGAAGACGTCACTAGTGTAAAATAGGTTCAGAGCTCGTAGCCCAATATCGAAAAATCCATCCAATACAGACGATGGCGTGTTTAATGCTGTTTACTACTCTCTCGAAATTTATTAAAGTTCAGACTGATGAAATTTTCAGAGATTGTCACAAATGCAGGTAACAATAATCATATAGTCAATAGTGCGCATTCAATTATTATTTTTATATTTGCTTTGCATATGTTGTATTTCTATTTTTTAATCAGGTATGATATAATACACGTAAATGACACGTGTCTAGATTTTTATTATTCGCAAAACAAAATTACGCCAAATAAAAAAGAAATTGCTTTTGGCGTATGAAGCGTTTTCAAAATTAAAAACTATAATTGGAAGCGTTATTAAGTTACGACTTGTTTTTTCCGGTACAAATTTCGTATGACATAACTTATTTCGGGGTGTTCCATAATAATTCATTTTTATTCAGTTACGACCTCGTAGCTTACCCTATACACACGCGTGCCATTGATATTAATATGTTAGCGGGTATAACCCAATTTAAATTTGGAAAGAGGGCAATTGCCATTCATTATATCGGGCACTATACCTGTCCTCCAAGCGTCAGTTGCACACCGAGAGTGTGGACATGAACATATAATATGTAGGTACGTGTACGAGGGTTATTACTTATTTAAAGTGTAAACAACAGTGTTTCGATTGTGTTAATTATTATTATTATTATTACCATTGTTACTCGAAAGCAACTCGATGACGGATGTTATTCATTCTGTTCAAAATTTTTTATGGTCCGATCGCGCATTTCCTCTCACGCAGGTACCTTTAAATCTGAAAACGCTCTGAGGGTGGATGGGGTTGTATTACGATTAGAACTATCTAGGCATCACGAACCCATTATACTTTGGAATTACTGTTTTGTGCACGTTACCGTGACGTTAACTTGGTTCAAATGAGGAGTTAACATTAAATGTTTTATATTTTTTTCCCTAAAAACCAAAAAGGCCTAGAAAGTAAGATTACAGGTATGCATTGGATCAGTTTCGATTCTATTATTTTTATTACACTTAATCTAATTGAAAAAAAAATGTTTTAAATTTCTTGTACTTTTTGCAAATTAAACCAAAATTTAAAGTGAATTAAGACAGGTACAAATATATTGTACATTTGTACATGGACAGTGTAAACAGATTTGAAAACACACGATGGTAATTTATTTTTGTTTTTTAAATTTGTTCCATGGAAAAATATTTATACTACCATTACCACAATTATATGCTAAAAATAATTATTAAGGTTTAAATTTTTTGACATAAACGTCGAAATTCAATTAATTTAATTCAATATTGATAATCTCGACGAAAAGCCATATTTTCAAAGATAATTTTTATACAATATAAAGATTTTAGAACTACACAATTTAGTGTAGTTTTACTGTTTGAAAATGTTATTTTATCAAGAGGAGTTTTTACCAGACTTTTTCCACCGCTATTTTATTTGAACTTAGTTATTTTAAGTACGGTATAATTGTTGATTGAGTGTCTGAGTTGAATTTTTAAAAATCCAATAACCACAATGTATTATATTTTATTACTTACACTTCATAAATACACCGGTATTAAAGAGTTTATCCCAGTAATTTGACGTTAAGTGGATATTTATAAGGTATAGATATTTATTTTGAAATAGAAATTATGGGCTGCTGTGTTGTACCTACAATCAGCGTAAACTATAAAAGTTGAGGTTAATTTATAAAAAGAATACAGGTACTTAGCTTACTTAGTTTTTAATATTTCATTATGAAGAGGTCGATTTTTACAATATAAATACCTATTGGATATAAAATGTCCTGTGTTCAAGTCCTTAGTCATTACTTATACTTATTAAGTTATTTCAGAATGCACACGTTTTAAAAATTCTGACGTCCAAAAGTCATGAATAAACGTCCTATCCAGTTTTAAATATAGCTTATATAAATTTTACCTAGTCCTATGTTCACTAAAATAGTCGTTACTCGTTTTTTTACGATTTGTGAAAAAAATTATGTTTGCAACTAAAATTCAAATACTCTATAATAATCGTTTTCTGCAAGTATTTTTATATTTATCAAGTATTTGTACAAACATACTTTACAATATTTTTCTAATTAAAAATGTTAATAATTACAATAAAAACTTAAGGATCCATCTTCAGAAATAAAAATATGCAAATGAAACATTACATGTACAAAAATACATTTTGACATGTTCCTTTTTATAAACATAAATAATAAATTAGATTCATATTTTGGCAATAATAAAACCGAGATAATTACTAAAGCAAGCTTAATGTGATACTTATTTACTATGATTATAAATTCGATAAACAGTATTTTAGATTACTATTTTGTTATATGCTTATAAGTAATC